AATGCCCATATCATCTATGAGGCTTGGGGCATGGTAAAGGGGTGGTTGGAGCCACATATGCGGCCCATAAGGCTGAGAGAGTCGGGAACCATCCACAGTGAAGAGGGACATCAAGGGGTTTAGAAACAACAGGGTTAATAGGATCTAGCCCGACCATGTCCAAAACTAAAGCTCAAGGGCAGCCTCCCTATATTCATCATACCAGCAAGAAGTGGCAGGCAAGAACGAAGGTGCTTGAAGGGCAGGGCTGGCATGGTTAAGGACCTGGGGGTAACATGGCCACCCCTAGGTACCTCACCCTGCTACAATGCCTATGAGCCTCTTTACCTATTGGAATGTAATCTACATGCTGGAAAAATTTGAGAGCCCCTGGTCTAGCTGATCCCCCCCCTGCCAGTGAATAATGGTAATCTAAAATGTATTTTAAGTGTCTGGTTTGATCTTAACTATTTCAAGCAGAAGGATTCCAAACCATTCTCTTACTCAGTAAGTTGCTTTGGATACTTTTCAATTTTCTTCTCAGTTTCACCCTTTTCATAGCTTCATAGACATTAGGGCTGGAAGGGACCTCAGAAGATCATCCAGTCCAGCCCCCTGCCCCAGGGGCAGGAAGTCAGCAGGGGTCATAGGATCCCAGCAAGAAAAACATACAAATGTCTCTTGAAGGTGTTCAAAGCAGGTGCTTGAACCACCTCCAATGGCAGACTATTCCAGACCTTGGGGGCTTGGACAGTAAAAAGTCCTTCCTTATGTTCAGCCTGAAACAGTCATGGAGGAGTTTGTGACCATTTGACCTTGTCATCCCTTGGGGTGCTCTGGTGAACAAACGTTCCCCCAGGTCCTGGTGAAACACCCCTGATAAACTTATAGGTGGCCATCAGATTGCCCCTGAGCCTGCGCTTTTCCAGGCTGAAGAGTCCCATAGCTCTCAGCCTCTCATCATAAGGTCTGTTTTCCTGACCTCTGATCATGCACGTGGCTCTTCTCTGGACTCTCTGGAGCTTCTCCACATCCTTTTTGAATTGTGGAGACTAGACGCAGTACTCCAGCTGCCTGAGCTCACCGTAGATTTGCACTTTGCATACACAGATGGAGAGTTTGTCCCCTCTGTGTATGATCTATGTCTTGTACTAGTATAAAATATTTTTTATGGGACTCTTTTTTTTTTCCTACATTTGTCCAGTTTGATGTAGGACCTGATCCTGCAGTCTAGATAATTGTATCCACTTTTATTGTTCAAAAGGGCTTTATTCAGATATTAGGATCCATTCATATGAATCCAATTGCAGGTTCAACTGATCATGAATTTTTTTGAACAGTGGCCTTGTCTTTTCTCTCTAAAGGGTTATGTGCACATGGCATGGGATATGCAGGACAGTCTTCTTATTTATGCCAAGTAAGGACTATTAATTGTATCTCTTCAGTTTTAATTTGTATGGAAACTTTGGCCACCACCTGTATGATTTACAGTCAGTGTAATCCCACTAAGTTCAAAAGTGTTGTGCTGAGGCTGTAGAAAGAGGAAAAACAGTTCAGACTCAGCTCTAGAATAAATTGACTTGAGTGTTTACAGTTATTCAGGAAAGCAGCTGTTCAGATTAAGATGGGCAAACTCACTGAAGATATTTGTTGTAAAAGACTGCAAACAGGAAAAAAAGATACTGGAGACATAAGTAGTTTCTCACAGATGTCAGTTTCAAGAGGAATTTCACTGACAAAGCCACTAAAAATGTGTCAACAGAACAAGAAATGAAAAGATGGTTTTTGTTTCATATTGTTTGACAAAGTTTTTGACTAAAGAGAACAGAAAGTTGGAGGCAGTTTTAAGTGCTATTTTTATTTTGTTGTTGTAGGTCAAAGATTCCAAAGCAGATCAAGCATAGCATTTTCTTGGGCACCTTACTAGCTCACTGAAAGATATAGCTTATACTTTTCAATTAGAAAGAGCCTATTTACTTGCCTACCACATGCACCTCCCCCTCCCACCCAAAAAAACCCAAACATCTCTCCAAAATGGACTTAAGCAGGGACACTAATTTTGAGTAGAGCAAGCGTACACTGTGATTAATGGATGGCTGCAACTTCCCTTGATGAGCTTGGTGTGGAAATAATACTTATATTATTTAAAGGAACTACTTACAGTGAAGAAGTAACAGTCATACTACTGTACTTGCAAGGGCTGAGGCCTGGCCTTATTGCTGTCCTACCACACCAGGAAATTATTCTGCCTCACCCAGAGCATCTCCTGGGATGCCACCCTTCCTGGACATGCTGTGTTTCCAGGTGGACTTACTTCATGTCACAGTCTGCCTCTAGAAACAAGGTGCATGTCTTATTTGGAGATGTGTGAGAAAATACAGTAAGACTCATCCAGTAGGTATAGTGTACAGAAGGTAGCAGAAATAAAAGTAGTAGATCATATGGTCTCAGTGTATACCACTTGAAGATTCAGAATCATGTAAAAGCATTTTCATTTACTGTGAAAGAAATCCTCCATTTTCCTTTTGCACTTGTCTCTCTCCCTTTCCTCAGAGAGGATGAGCTTCCCGACTAATTCTATGTATGTTAATATTTGTTTTTAACTCTCCAAAGGAATCATCTCTAACTGATATGACTATTTGGATGACGACATGATATATAAGCATTTGAGACCTGTTTTTTATTCTCTGGCCCCAGAACTCCGAGGGCTATGTGTCCCCAAAGTACTTTAACATATGGCTGGAGTAAAAGTGACTGGGTTGGGGATCATCTGTGGAAGATGGGATGGGAAAAAAATCCTGGAAGCTGAATCTTGATGAATATTCTAACTTGTCCGTTACTTATTAATGACAAGAATGAGCCAATTCTATAAAAGTGAATAATGGACAAAGTTTGGGCTGTAGCCTCATTCTCTCTGGATGATAATGAAAAGAAATATATTCTTACCCAATATTTGGAGTTTTGTAAATTATTTTTCTCCTCTGTTTGACTTCTCTTTTCTTTTCATTTTAGCATTAGGCTTGGATGAGTGCTTCTGGCACAAATCAGTTCCTTATGGCCCAACTCAGCCTTTAGATATACAGGCACAGCTCCCAGTGAAGTCAATGGGAGTTGCACTTGGATGTCCAAGAGCAGACTGAGACCCAATAGTCCTGACACTAGCAAATATGCTATACATTATTTTTAAATTATATTAACTAAGAAATTATGTTTCCCCAGTGGAGTTTATTCTATTTCTTCTGCATCAACCACTTATTTTCTCAATAAACATTTCCAACTGAAGCCACATCTGGTGGTTGATTAGTTGAGTTATATGAAAGATAACTGACTTGGAATTAGGTAGCAGAGGCTAAAATGCCTTTAGGAATTCGATCAAATTTATGCTTTCATATGTAGAGAGCAATTTAGTTTTAAATGTGTGGTACTTGAAATAAATTAGCTTACATTTTCAAAGACTTCTTTGTTTAGCAAGGGTTTAAAATGTAGGATAATCTGTCCCTTCCTGTACTTCTAAAAAATTATATCCTCTATTGCTCATATTACCTGGACTCAGTAACCTTTGGATGAACCTTCCCAAACCACAAATGACCTGGTACTGTACAAAAATAACAGTCCATTGTGCTACATATTGCTGAGCTGTGTGCACAAGTGCCTGAATGAATCTTTTGTTGAAGTAATTACAGGTAATATTACACTTAATTTGACTACAACAGATGCTTCCTAGGAAAATGTGATGTTTTGCTCACTAATAGAAATCTTTAGATTCAACATTCTCTACTGAGAGTGGATCTACATTTATATAACTGACCTGGTTTAAATATCTAGGTTTTGACTTTGAGCCCAGCTCTGTGTAACTCCATTGACTTCATTGGTCTTTCGGATTTAAGCAGAATTGGGTTCTGTTTGCTCTTCTTGACATTAAATAATCAAGCATAGGTTAACTAGACGTAAAAATATATCTGATTAAAAAATTGTTTGCAGTCCAGGATAATATGTATAAAATACTATCTTCTCAGGCATTTATACACTTCAACACAGGTACATCACTTTGTTCTTGTTTTTGAATTAGACTCTTAAGGCAGAAACCTATTTCATTTGACATGCCCAAATGCACTTACCCAGCCACATGCTTGCCATTTTTGGCACTTACACACAGCTTGTTATCCTATGATATGCACAATGTGGACATAAAAATGTCTATGTGGCTACTAAGACATACCCAGTAGGCTGCCCCCTGGCTGAGTTAGATCTGAGCCTTGACCACCAGGTTATTGGGATAAAAATATGGGAGTGTCCTCCTCCAGCATCTACCACACACATGGGTTTTTGCCAGCCTAATTGTTGTGACTTATACTCACCTAGCATATGCATGCACTTGCCGACCCACAGCTTACATGTGCACACTGCACACAGAATAGGATCACAAACTGTGTGTAAGAGCCAACAAAGGTAGTTATGCAACTGCTTTAATTTCAATTTGGATGCAAATAGTGAAATAGGATTCTGCCTCTCCTGCATCTCACTCCATTCTTCAATTTCCTCATTAATCTTATCAAAATGGCACTTAGAAGACAAACAGAAGAACTTCCACATTATCATATTTTTCAAGAACCAAGAGTAGCAGCAGTTTTGTTTATTTTTTTAGACTTTGCAGTTATGCATGTTTTAACAGATACAAAGTCAACCACATTGAACTCTTTTGTTTCTTTGCTAGAAACTTCTAGGAGGGGAAAATATTTTTATTGCAATCTGAGAACTGATTTCAGTTCTAAGGTTTCATTCAAAGAAGTAAAAGTGACTCTAATTGTCTTGAGATAAATATAATTCAAGTCTTGCGTCAGATTTTTTAAAACTAGATTTACATCTGGAATGCTAATCACTCTTACACCATTTTCCTTTTTTTTTGCTAATGCAATCATTCCTTAGCTGGTGTTTTCATTAACATTGTACTGAATCAAGCTATTGTGCCTAAAAACATGAAATTCAATTGATTTTTCTCCTAATTTTCTCTTTATCTTCAGTATCATATTATGAAAATCGTCAACTGAGAACCCTAAAAAAACAAAATTCTGAGGTCAAAGCCACACAGCATGAGCAATAGTGTCTTGAACTTCCTTTATCAATGCCAAGCTGAAGAGACCATCTTTACAGGTAAGAGTATCCTTCACATTCTTAGTTCATATAATCCTTGGCCTCTCTGAAAAATTGTTGACAAAAGTACCAATTTGTGCTATATCTGTAGTAGCTCTGATATAAATTTCCCCGTTTCTCCCCAACCCTGTACTTTGGAACTAGATCACTAACATACTGAAAAGCTATCGTGTTATGACTGTTTTTTCTCATTCCTGATGCAAGCTAGATACACACTGCGATCTAAAGCCATAAAACTTTGTATTCAGTGTACAAATATTCTCAGCCATTGCTTCTCCTTGTTGCTCATTCAAAGTTCTCTCATTTTATTTTTTTGTTGTTTTTCTGTGAGCATAAATTAAATCAGTTAACCAAATAGGACCAAACTCAAATTATGGTATTAACTCCCATTGGTAAAATGGAGTTGCACCAGGCAAAAATGTCACCTATTCATTAGGGCTATGTGACGCTTCGGACCACAATTCAGATTCGGAAAAGATTTGGACAATTTGGAGGCTGAATCTGCAAGTCTGAACTGAATCAGTTGCTGCTTTTGGCTTTCTGAATCGATTTGGAAAAGATTTGGCAATTCAGAGAGGTGTCTGTATGGGGAAACCGAAACTTAGAAGAGGGAGGGGGAAGTGGGGGAGCCAGGGTGGGAAAGACTGACATGTGTAGGTGGCCAGTGAACATGACTTCTGTTTGACTGCCTTTCCAATTAGTGTCTGGGGGAGGGACATAGAAACAACATAAAAGCTTCTGTGTGCAGACTTGCTGTGCCTTTTGTGAGATGTTTCTGTCTGAGCAACAGCGTCAGAAAAGTACTGTGCTACCTGGCTTGCTTCATAATCAGTCAGTTGCAATTTACCTGCTCCTTTTTGTTCTTAGAAAGAGTTGGATAGAACTTAGCTTAGCTTGGTTTAGCTTAGAATCTATTTACTTAATACGATCCAATTCATTTCTTTCAATTTATATTTGCTCTCTTTTTTTATCTGGGGGTTTTTTGTTGCAAACTTTGAAAAAAGAAAGCTCAGTGTTTTCCCTGCCAGCGTGATCCATCACTGTGCAGGAAGGCACACAGATTACGCGCGCGCGCGCGCACACACACACACTTATACACAAATAGAAGAAAAAAAATCAGATATTCACAGGAGTAGAAGAGTCAGATTATATATAGTAGTTATTAGTTTATTAGTAGTAGTATACATAGAGACTAAAGTCAACACAGAAATCAGATTCAGATTGAGACTAACACAGAACTCAGGGTCTTAGAAGAAGGAGATATATAATTTTAGGCACACATTACAACACAGAAGAAAAACAAGAAGTACTGTAGTAGTCACACAGTCACATTATTAGAACATCACAGAAGAAGATGCCATATACACTTATTAATAATCAAAGCAGAGTCCAGTGCATGCATTCAACACAGAGGAAATAACACAGAGGGAATAAAACACACAACAGAGTCACACTTCAGTTTCCTAATTCATAGTAAATAAATACATCATAGCAAAGAAGAAGAGAGACAGACAGCACACTTTTTTTTACGTAGTTCTTAGCACTTATTACTGAATCAATCAAACAATCAAAGAAGAGTCCAGTGCATGCACGCAACACAGGGAATAAAACACACAACACAAAAGGAGTCACACACACACACACAAACACACACACACACACACACACCTTTGCAGCACAGGAAATATTAATATGAAGTGTGCTGGAAAGGCAGGTGCCAGGTCTTCTGGCAGGGGAGGGAGAGGGGGTAGGAGGAGAGTTACAGCTGCAAGTTCCCCCCAAACATAGAAGTATTCTTGTTGCCCTGTGGGGTCACACCAACTCTCAGGATCTCAATATTGTGCTGTTAGACAGGAGGGTGTGACACAATTGCACATATACAAACACACAAATCAATTGGGTGTGCACACACGCGCGTGCACACACTACCAACTCAGGCACATACACATCCAAACCAGACTAGGCATATGCATACACCTATCACCAATTCAAGCACATACACACACCAAAAATTAGACAACAATCAGTTGTCAATACCCACACACTCCATACACATACATGGATCACTAATTCATATATCACACACATGATGACATATATATATATATATTCACCAGTTCACATGCATACCATCCACCTACACATACACACAGGTGAGTTCCTAACTTGGATGGTATGTTATATATGTGTGTGTTTGGGGTACTTGGGAGAGAAAGTGTAAGGAGTGAAAGTTGCCAGAACCAGGATTAGAACTGGTAGACTAGAGAGAAGTTGGCTGAGGAACTGAGGCTTGGGGTTACTTAATGTCAAGTGGCCCCAGGGTTACTTGAAGTCATTGGTGCAAGGGGAAAAGCCCAGTGGCAAGGAGGAGACAGCCAGGAAAGAAAGAGAGGTAGACTGCTTGGAGGTTGGGGCTGGAAACTGAGGCAGAAACTGAGGTAGACAGCTGAGAGATTGGGGGGCAGAAAAGTGGTGGCAACGAGGAAACAGTCAGGAAACAGACAAAAACAAACTTGAGGTTTCAAAATAACAGGTTTATTAAACAGACAACACACTACACCGCCCCATTTAGTTATCGATACACACACACACACACACACACACACACACACACACACACACACACTCACTCTAAAGCACTCACAGTGGCAGCAGGAGAAAGAGACTCAGTGGGAGTTGGAGTCCAGGTAGGGAAGAGAAACAGAGTCCAAGTCCTTGGTTGATTAGGGGGTCGGGGTGATAGCTACCTATCCAGGCTGGAAAGGGGTCCTTGTCCAGTAGGTGTTGTCCAGAGGGGGGTCACTGGCAGGGGCTCTGGGTAGATAGGTGGTGTGGCATGGTGCTGGTCCAGATGGAGAGGGCGTCCCAAAGAGTCCGTCTTCACTACCCTTTTTTATGGGGCAGACTACCTCTGATCTCTTATGGGGAGGGCCTGTCCAGGCAATGTCAGTCCTGTTCCAAAGGGTTCCAGGTGTTCTTCTGAGCATATGCAGCTTGGCACAATGGTGGGTTGCCTCATCTTTTGTTTCTTGAATGCGGAGGGTGGTTCCAATGGCTGGGTCATTGGTCCAGGTATTGGTGTTGATGATGCAGTCATTTAGAGGGAGCTATTTTTAGACCTACTGCCATTGTCGCTCAAGTACCCTCATTCATTCCCATTCATTCAGGAACCAAGTTACATAGGAGGGGTAAGTGTGAGTCATAGGTTACAACATACATACACAACAGGGCATGGGGAAAAGATGAAGACTTGACAAACAAAATGGAAACTCGACATGACTTATGCTAACTTACATATGTAGGCCTAAATCATATAATACCAGTAAAACAGTAATATAGAACACTAAAAATCAATATAATCATAATAATTGTACAATATAAAGAAGGAGAAAAAACAAATACGACTTGCTACCAAAATAAAATGCTGAAACTTATCCTGTCTTAGCTCACTTATACTTTTCTGTAGGGAATAGAGAGGGAGAGAAAACGTCAGAAATGGTTGGGGAGGGGGAAGGAATGAATTTTAAAATTAAAAAAAGAAAAGAAAAACTTGGTGTTTTGCTACATTCTTTTCCCAAGCAGCCATGATGCTTCTGCTGCCAGTGGAAGCAAGGAGGTGAGAGCAGTGTCTGCATCTGATGTCCCTGCACCTGCACCACCTCTCCTCAATCCAGAAATAAGCACCAGCAGCAAAATCTCTCTCTTCCACCCCAATGCCATCTCTTAGAGTGAGCCTCCCACTGCCAGAGGAGGAGCTGGAGCTGGAACCAGGGGTGCTGAGCGCCTTGGCTCAAGCAATTCTGGGGGCTGAGGGGGAATCAGAGTTTGTGCTCCACACCCCTCAAAGTTCCCTTAGACCCAGGTCTCCTCCGGAAAGCAGCACCTTGGAGGAAGCTGAGGTTGTGGAGGCAAGTGGCTCTCCCGAAGCAGCTCCTCCTGCTGTTGTGCCTCAGCCTACTGAGGAGTGGGATAAGGCAGCATCCTCATCCTCAACCTAGAAGTGGGTGAGTAGTGTAGTGTGGGAGCATTTTGAGCTGGCAGATGATTCCAGGTTTGCTATCTGCCAGCACTGCCAAAGGCACATCAATTGGGGCAAGGATGTGAAACACTTTTCCACCACAGCGATGCTGCTGCATCTGAGAAGGCAGCACCCCCTTGCCCTTCTGGCTGCTCAGCCTGGCAGCAGTGTGAGCATGCCAAAAGGGAAGTCTCCTGCTTGCTCCAAAGCCCCTTTACCCCCAAAGCATAGGCAGGCCACCCTGGACCAGTGGGGGAAAGGTGGACAGAAAGGGGGGTGCGTTCCCAAGGTGAGTGAAATCACCCAGAGCATTGGAGAGATGCTTGCTCTGGATTTCCAGCCTTTCTCCCTAGTTGAGCAGCCAGGGTTTAGGCAGCTCATAGTGCTTCTGGCCCCATCTTACAAAATGTCCACATACAGCACCTTTAGCAGGATGGTGGTGCCCTCCCTGTATGAGGCATGCAGGGAGTACTTGAGGGAGGAGCTGCACAAGGCAGGGCCACAGGTAGCCTTGCACTTCACCTCCAACATCTGGAGCAGCTGGGGTGGCGATCACACCTACCTCTCCCTCACAGGGCATGGTGTGATCAGTCAGGCCATCAGTGGGCTCTCCTCTAAGCCAAGGTGCTGGATGAGCCCCACATAGCAAGGGAGATCATGGGGGCCATGAATCGCATGGTGGAGGGGTAGCTCATCGGGCTAAGCTCACCCGCGGGTTCATGGTAACCGACAACGGGGTCAATATGGTGAAGAGCTGATCATCCCACAGCACAAAATCATGAAGGTTGTGGAGACTCAGTGGATCTCCACATACCTGATGCTTGAAAGGCTGGTGGTGCAACAGAAGGCCAACTTGAGAACCAAATGGAGAAGTTCCAGGGGATCAGTGTTCCTGGCTGGGGCAGGCCACTGTCACCAGACTTGCAGGCACTGGTGAGGCAGCTGAAGGAGGGCATCAGGAGATGGCTGGATCCCTTGCAGT